TAAGATGCAGCTAGAGAAGTGCTTAGAGGAAAATTTATAACTATAAATGCCTACATTAAAAAAATCTCAAATAAATATGCTAACCCTTCTGCTTAGCAAACTAGAAAAAGAGGAGCAAAGCAAAACCAAAGCAAACAGGAGGAAGAAAATAACAATTAGAGGATAAATAAATACAAGAGAAAAACAATGAAAAGAAATTAACCAAAAACCATTGGTTCTTTGAAAAGGTCAACAAAGTTGACAAACTGTCAGCTAGACTAAATGAGAAAAAAAGAGATGTTTCAAATTTATAAAGTTAGGAATGGAAGAGGTGACATCACTACTGACTTTACACAAATTAGAAGGATTATTTAATTGGTCATGGGATTAAGAAAAAAAGATTATAAAAGAATACTATGAACTACACAGCAAATAACAAAGCATTGACATCATGGAGACCAAGTTGATGTAGAAAAACAAAAAGAAATGACATAGATCCTTCACAAACTCTTCTAGAAAATAGAGGAGGTGGGAACACTTACCAACTCATTCTACAAGATTATTATTGCCCTGATACCAATGCCAGACAAAGATATTGTAAGAAATGGAAACTACAGACTAATACCCTTTATGAATATAGACATAAAAATCCTTAACAAAACAATAGCAAACTACACCCAGCAATGTATAAAAAGGATTATGTATCATGACCAAGTGTGATTTATCCCAGGAATACAAGGCTGGTTTAACATCCAAACGTCAATTAATATCTAATGATATAGATTATATCAATAATAAAGGACAAAAAACTACATGATCATCAACAAAAGATGCAAGAAAATTTTTGAAAAAATCCAACATTTGGTCATGACAAAAAACCTTCAACAAACTAGGAACAGAAGGGTATTTCTTCAACGGAAAAAAAATGATATATGTAAAACCAAAGTTAATGTGATACTTACTAGAGAAAGACTAAACACTTCATTCCTAAGATCAGTTAGAAACAAGAATGTCTGCTGTCATTACTTTTATTCCAGATTGTATTAGAGATTCCAGTCAGAGAAATTAGTCAAGAAAAAGAACTAAAAGGCACCCATATTGGAAAGGAAGAAGTAAAATTGTCTTTATTCCCAGATAATATAATCTTGTACATAGAAAACTCCAGATAATTTATTAAAAACAACTAAAATTAATAAATGAGTTCAGGAAAGTTATAGAATACAAGATAAACACACAGAAGTCAATTGTATTTCTACACACTAACAAAAAGCAATGCCATAAATAAGAAAATAATGCCATTCACAATATCATCAAGAAAAACCAAGTAAGAATAAATAAAACAAATGCAAGGCTTGTAAACTGAAAGATAGAAAACGTTGCTAAAAGAAATAAAGAAGACCTAATAAAATGAAAAGACATTTCATGCAGATGCATCAGAAGACTGAAAATTGCTAAGATGGCAATAATACCTGAATTGGCCTAAAGATTCAACAAAATTTCTATTAAAATCAGAGTTGCCTTTTATTTTTCAGAAATTAAGAAATAGGTCCTAAAATTCATATGAAAATGTTAAGGGTCCAGAATGTCAAACAATCTTGAAAAGTGGAACAAAGTTGATAGAATCAATTTTTAATTTCAAACTTACTACAAAGCTGCAGCCATCAAAATAGTGTAACACTGATATCAGGACAGACATATAGATCAACTGAATAAAGTTAAAAGCACAAAAATAAGACCACATTTATGGTTGACTAGTTTTTGACAAAGACCCCCAAAAGATTCAATGGGAAAGAAATCATCTCTTCAACAACTAGTGCTGGGGTAATTAGATATCCACACGGAAAAAGATGAATTTGAACCCCTATCTTACATTACATACAAAAAGTAACTCAATGTGGATGACAGACCTAAATGTAAGCCTAAGAAAATATTAATAAATATTTGTGATATCCAATTAGCCAATCACTTGGGCACAAGAGATAAAAGAAAAACATGATAAACTGGACATAAACTTCTGCACACAGTAAAAATTGTGAAAAGACAACCCACAGAATGAGAGAAAATATTTGCAAATTATGTGTTTGATAAGAAACTTTTATTCAGAATACATAAAGAAAAAGACAAATAATCCAACTAAAATTTAGGCAAAGAATTTGAAGAGACATTTCTCCAAAGAATATATATAAAAGGCCAATAAACATGTGAAAAGATATTTATTATAACATCATTAGTCATTAGGAAAACCACAATGACACAATCTCACACCCACTAGGATGTCTATAATCAAAAAGACAGGTAATAAGTGTGAGGATGTGGATATCTTGCAGTTACCTTGGAAAACAGTTGTTGAGTTCCTCAAATTATTAAACAGAGCTATCATATGACACAGAAATTCCACTCCTAGGTACATATCCTAGAGAGATGAAAACATACATGCACACAAAATTTGTACATGATTGTTCGCAGCAACATTTTTCATAATAGCAAAAAAGTAGAAACAATTCAAATGTTAACATGAGCATGAATAAATGCACACGTGGTAAATGTGGTATATCCATACAATGAAATATTATTCAGCCATAAAAATGAATGCATGACTGACACATGCTACTCAAACATTATGTTAGCTGAGAGAAGGTGGTCACAAAAGACCACATATTATATGATCCCATTTATATAAAATGTCCAGAAAAATGTCCAAATTTAGGGGAACGAAAGGTAGATTAGTGATTACCAGGGCTAGAAGGAGTTGGAAATTTAGAGTGACTATAAATGGCATGACATTCTTCACAGAGTGATGGAAATGTTCTAAAATTAGACATGAGATGATTGTACAACTCTAAAAATATACTAACATTCATGAAACTGTACATTTAAAACCAGTGAATGTGATGTTTTGTAATTTACCTCAATACAACATATTAAATGTTTAAAATTTAAAAATTAATTTGTGTTCAACTAGTCTTTCTAATTGACCTAATCAGAGGCCTGAAGGCAGTCAGCTTCTTGTTGCCTGATTTAATAACAAGTACCATCTAAAATAACTGTGTATAACAAAAGATATACATGCCACACTTTAAAACACAATTGTGGGATCTCGAGGAGCCACATTCAGACCTCGCTGAGGCCAAACAAGAGGAGAAAAGATACTACCAGGGAGGCAGGATGCATGGGACAGTGGCCCCATGACACTACCACTAGAGGTAGCAGCTCGATGGCCCTGCATTTTCTCCCACTGGGGATAGAGAAGCTGCAAATAAATTCACGGTTGGAAGTTAGATGAATAGATTATGTTAGCTGGGGCACTTTGAAAATTGCACATATAAGAATCAGCTGAGCACAAATCAGAATGGCCATCAAGAAGAATGCTGTACCTGTGCATAAAAGGCGAATTCCACCCTGAAACACAGAGTATCTTTGGGTGCTGGTGGCCACACCAGTATGTCACAGATGTTTTGTCTGGCCAGACTCACTTTTCTAGGAACTGCCCCTCTTCAAGACCACCTGCCTTCCCATTCTCATAGTCATGCTGGGAAATATCATCTCCTACTACCCAACTCCCTCTTTGCCATATACGCCTGTTCTTAACGTGGGGAATTCCTCCCTGGCATTTTAGACTAGAAATGAAGAGAATGCCAGGCCAGAATCTCTCCAGAGACTAACTCTGGAACATGTCAAATGCCAGAGCTCAAGGCAGTTCTGTTTTTACCATGTGGATGCCAGTCCTTCCAATAAATTCCCCTTTCTCCTGAATTGTGTTTTGGTTCCATGTAACCAAGAATCCTAACTGATACTATTCAAGTTTAAAACGTTTTCTGCTTAAATTCTAGTCCATCAGCATTCCCGCAATACATAGGACTTGGTTCCACTTAAAGGTGCACATTAGTCCCATAATCAGGGGATGTTAGAGATAGTGCCAACAGTAGTCTCTACCCACCTATCTTGCCCTTCCCATGACAAAGGTTAAGGTGATTCTGCTGGGAACACTAGACAAGCAAGTTGATTGAGGATTACAGTAAAGAAGGTAGATATCCGAACTAAGTCTGGGAATTTTAAAGACTTGTCCAAATCCCAGAAAAACAAACGATTAAGTGGTGTTTATGGCTGTTATTATAAACCAACCAGATGCAATGTGATATAAAGCTTTTGAAATCCCAAAGAAACAGAACAATTTGTTAAATGCTATGTTAAGAGCTTTTGCAAGATCCATTTCCACTATTTATTTCACTTTGGTTTAATCACATTTTGATTAACAAAAAGAGAATCATGATGTAGTTGTCTTTATGAAAATCAACTACTAGAATTCCTGAGAATGAAATTAACCAAGGGAATGGAGATACCACAAATTTACTATTTCCTTTTTAAAAATAATGTGTTTATTTAGCAAAATACCTAGCTTACCAGGCTAGGTAAAGCTATCATCAAATCTCTAATTCATGTGTACTGGATTCACAACTTCTTTCCAGATTACAGCAAGTTCAATAACCCAACACCACTGGGGGAAGTCAAGGTACTCATATACAATGTGTCGTATTCTGATTTCAGAACAAAATGGTGATATTATGTACTTGACTATATCCTTAAGATAAAATCTAGAACTAAAACAAACAGGTATACTATGAAAAATATTAAGAATTCTAATGGTCATTACCATAGAAAAGTGTTACTAAAATTGTGCTAGTAGGAATAATGATAATAATAATGGAAAAAGTAACAACAGAAATAATAAACCATCTAGCCCAAAGATATGTAGAGTCAGGGATGTAACTGTGTCATGTACAGGAGTTATGATTTTATTATTTATCACTGTAGGGTACATCAGATTTGCGTTTCCCTATCATTTTCTCTTGTTTCTTCACTGGTTGAATCAATGCCATATTGCCCACCACATGTGAAAGGCCGTTAATTAAGTTATTACACTGACGGCAGACATAACAGAGGTGTGACACTTTGTACACTCAAGGATGACATTCAGAGATGGAGGATAAAATCTACACAAAAGAGATTTAAATGCATGTTACCTAATATCCGAGAGGTCGCACTTGTTTCCAGCGATGGCCATTACAATGTTTTCCGGACCATGTTCTTTCAGCTCCTTGACCCATTTCTTCAAGGTATAAAATGAATCCTAAAACAACAGTATACACGCCTCATTGGAAAGATCCCTCAATGTAATATTTCAACCAAGTAGAAATACAAGCCCAGTACAATTTAATGGAGAAAAATATTTTTAGGAGACTCATGCAGATTAACATACTACCTCTGGCTAGGCACAAGTTAACGTTAGCTGAAATACACTTAAATAGACCATATAAAGTTTTCCAAAATTAAAGCTCGATCTAGTTAAGAAAACTGTATCTGTGATTTTCTCCTATAAATTTATATAGCAAAATCAATATAAAATGATAGCCTGGACTCCGCACATGAATAAGAATAACAGGACTAAGTAAATGCTCATGCTTACACCTAGAAATAAACTTATATATTTAGAGTCCTGTCTTCCCGTTTGGCCTTCACTCACAATCGTCCTCTAGAAAACAGGCCGAGGACAACACGCCACATTTAGGTAGAAGCGGTCAGGAATTTGTGGAAGGTAACAGTGATGGGTCATTAGACTAACAGTCTTAGGTGCTGAGGCAACTATCCAGAGGAAAAAAGTAAATAACTCAAGTTGCAGGAGTGGGAAAAAATGTCATCAAACCACTGCAGTTACTTGTTGATGGAAGTCTAAGACCTTCAACATGATAAATAAAAATATATTTATATTATATATACATACACACACATATTCACTTATATACACATAAATGTTATGCTTGGTATTTTAAGTAGTATGTAGTATGTCTGAAACACTAAAAAAAATAAGTATTCCATAATTATAAAGCATGCAGAAATTAAAATCAATTTTCCTTTTCTTAAAAAGCTGACGTTCTGCAAAATAGTACTAGCAGTCATGACTTTACCTCTACAGTCAGTTTTAAGAATGAATGGTCACTGTTGTTTAATTTAGCAGATAATATAGGATGTTTTGTTACATATACATGAAATAAACTCAATATATAGTGGCAGGCTACTGGCAAGATGCAAGCAGTGACGTCTCAGCTTCAGTCTCCCTAAGTGAGACACCTGCCATAAATGGCATCTAAATTCTGAAGGAGACATTCTTACCTGCTTCGTAATATCATACACAATAACAGCAGCAGCCGAGCCTCGATAGTACATGGGAGCCAACGAATGAAACTGTTTAAGAACAATGAAAGGTTTTAGGCCAAAGTGAACAGACTTTATTCAATCCCACATTAAATATAAAATTTTTATCCTACATCATCCCTATAGGATCCCTAAATTCCTTCCCCCTTTAATTGTTTCAGGGCTCATATTATTACTTATTTTCTTTGAGACAGAGTTTCATTCTTGTCACCCAGGATAGAGTGCAATGGCATGATCTTGGCTCACTGCAACCTTCACCTCCCGGGTTCAAGCGATTCTCGGGCCTCAAGATCCCGAACACCCAGGATTACAAGCATGTGCCACAACATGCGGATAGTTTTTGCATTTTTATTAGATACAGAGTTTCACCATATTGGCCATGCTGGTCTCGAACTCTTGACCTCACCCGCCTTGGCCTCCCAAAGTGCTGGGATTACAAGTGTGAGCCACCAAGCCCAGCCCCAGCGTTCAAATTAAATAATAAATTTTCCTCCTCATCAACACATATATATGCTTGTGGTTTATTGACCGTGAAAACCACTCTTGGGTAAAGGCCAAAAACAAATTTTGTTTTAAAAATTGCCATCTTGTGAATTTTCTTTTCTCTGCTGCTCATCATTTCTCTAATATGACTGACCCAGGGCAATCTCATTAGAATTATACAGCAGTAAAGAAAAGATGTATGGCTAGGAAAGGGAAAGGGATCACAGGCAAAGATCACAGGATCCTGGCTGAGCCATTAATGAGGACCACTCAGCAAGGGCAGCCTTGGCAGCAGCTGCCTCGAGTCTGGAGGGCTGCCACCTCTCCAACGCGGGCTTCCTCACCTACCTTAGGTCCGCAAATGACGAGACAGCAGAGGAGCTGCATTCCAAAACTTTAACAAAGGAAGTGCTGCTGGTCACTAGCATCGTTCGTCCCCAGACAGGATAGCTCATTAGTCTCAGAATGCATACATTTGATGTATATTTTGGAGAAGGGTCCATTCTTAATCTGCACCTTTTTTTTTTTTTAATTAAAAAATATCCTGGAGGGGCCAAGCATGGTGACTCATGCCTGTAATCCTAGCACTTTGGGAGGCCGAGGTGGGCGGATCACTTGAGGTCAGGAGTTCAAGGCCAGCCTGGCCAACATGGTGAAACCCTGTCTCTACTAAAATTACAAAAATTAGCTAGGCATGGTGGTTGGCACCTGTAATCCCAGCTACTCGGGAGGCTGAGGCAGGAGAATCACTAGAACCCAGGAGGCAGAGGTTGCAGTGAGCTGAAATCTTGAGACTGCACTCCAGCCTAGGAAACAGAGACTGCCTCAAAAAAAACAAACAAACAAAAAAATCCTGGAAGGGTTTTGAAAGTCAATAAGAAAAAGATGGCTTAATAGAAAAATAGACAAAGATATATATAGGTAAATTTCAGAAGACATATAAATCGCCAATAAATATTTTAAAACATGTTCAATTAGAATTGGAAGAACACCAATAAAAATAGGCACTTATAAATTATTAAATTGTAAAAAGATTTATGATGTTCAGCGTTGGTGTAGGTTTGGGAAGGGAGAGATGCATACTCTACATGGAATGTGCTGAATATCTTCTTTCAAAGCTGTTGGTAATATAATCAAAAGTTGAAATGTGCATCCCATTTGACCCAGCAATTCCACTTAGAGGAGTATATACTGGAGTGACCATCGCACACAGGAAGACACATCCCTGTGCTGTATATGGGAGCAAACGAGAACTGACTCATGGTATAATGTTATGAACTGAATGTTTGTCTCCCCTAAAATCCATGTATTAAAACCTCAACTCCCAACGTGGTGATATTAGGAGGTGGGGACTTTGGGAGGTAATTAGGGTTAAATGAGGTCACAGATAGAATTTGTCTCTTATAAGAAGAGAAAGAGACCAGATCTCTCTTCTCTCCCCACCCTGCCCCTATGTGAGATACAGCAAGAAGGTGAGTATCTGCATACCCATCTGCAATGGGGTTCTCACAGGCAGTGAATCTACTAGCACTTTGATCTTGGACTTCCCAGCTCCCAAACATTAAGAAATAAATGTGTGTTGTTTAAGCCCAGTCTATGTTATTTTGTGCACAGATTAAGACATATATGTATGTAATGATATCCTATAACCATTGAAATGATGATTTTTATTTAAGGGAAAACATATCTTTGACATACTAATAAACGAAAAAGTCTCAAAGCAGCACATATAGCATATATCATTTATTATGTGCTTAATTTACCATTATATGATAATATAATGTAGGGTAAAATGTGTGTGGGAGTATGTCTCTGCATGCAGGAATAACGTGAGGTCCTTCTAAATCTTAAGAGGCAGGATTTACAGTGATTTTTACATTTTCCTATAAGCATTTGTATAGCATAAATTTTTACAATGAGTTTATTTATTTATTTATTTATATATTTATTATTGCATTTTAGGTTTTGGGGTACATGTGAAGAACATGCAAGATTGTTGCATAGGTATACACGTGGCAGTGTGATTTGCTGCCTTCCTCCCCCTCACCTATATCTGGCATTTCTCCCCATGCCATCCCCCCACCAACTCCCCACCCCCTGCTGTCCCTCCCCTATTTCTCCCCAACAGA